CGGTTCCAGGAAGCCTCCCCTCCACGGGCCCCAGAGGCGGCTGGTGTCAACAGGAGCTGGGTGGGCGTGAAGTGCCAGGAAGCAGCAGAGAAGGTGGCAGGTCTGCACTCAACCGCCCAGAATTCACCACCAATCTGTACACTATATTGAAAACAACGTTCTTAGCTATCAGCTTAATCTTGACTCAAGGAGAAACCTGATTCTTTACGGAAGAATAATCACAGACAATAGAAAAAGGGAGGGTTTTAAAGAGAGCTTCCTTATCCACTCCAGAAAAGTGGTATCAATTACAAGTGCAACCCTGGGATTAACCTCTTTTAGTGTCAGTTTCTTTAATGGTAATAAGGTCGATTTCCATTAATCCTACTTATTTATCCTTGCATGTCTCATCTTGTTCCAGAGGAATTTCAGGTGGCTAACACACTTGCCCTAAAATATGACGGTGTGAGAGAGGATGAAAACGGCTCAAGCATTACACCAGATGGACACAACCATTCCTAAGGGAACATTCCAGTCCCACCGGGTAGCTGACTGTCCGCTGAACTGACTTCACCCATGCAGACAATGCAAAGGAATGATGTCCAGGGTCCTCCTTGGCCAGAACACGACTCGCCCATGACCGTGTCCCATCAGGGGCAGGTGCCCGGGCCAGAATAGCCAGGACATCATCTGCTTTGATGCCAAAGGGAGAGCGAAGGAGGTGCTGGCCTTCAGCTTCGATTCATTAAAAACAGTTACATGGCAGAGTAAGTGCCAGAGAGTGTCCACTGCATCAGATAAATTTGGAGCTGGGAAGGGGGTCAGAAGCCCCTGTGATCATCGTTGCTTTCACAGGTGGGAAGGGACTCGTGCAGCCAACCCTGCCCAGGCTAGAACCTGCAAACCTAAAGTCAGAGCCCAGAACTATTCCTGCAAAGCCCATTGCTGCCTCCATACGGTCCACGCTGACCACACAAGCTAATCAAGGGTAAGGAGAAGCATGCTGGAAAAGAAGTAGCTCTATTAACTTCAAAATGAGTAATTCCCCCCATAAAGCATAGTTCATCTACATTATCACCCACAAATGATGAGCTGGGCAACATTCAGACATTCTCGCAACACTCCCAGGCTATAGTGTGACGCTGTCCAACCAGCAGGGAGGCGACCATGGCAGCTCGGGGGTCCTGGGTCAGAGAGCAGCAGAGAGTGACCCCAGGACATCCTCCTGCCTCTCTGTGCTGCAGGATGAGTACGACCCCTGTGCATGGGCCCACTGGAGAGTCACACGAGGGAAGGCAGGCAGAGAGCTGGGAAATGGATTCCCTCTACTTCTCAAAGGCCCAAGCACCCCTCTGTAACCAGTGCTGTCCTTGGTGCTGAGGACACAGCCAAGGCCCAACTGCGTTGGGGAGGTTCTCAGGAAGCTCACAATCTTCCCAGGAAACCACATGCAAGCAGGGAGTATGGAGTGGTGACCACGGCGATGGAAAACGACAAATCTGGGTAAACTGAAAGACCTCCTGGGAGGGGTGCCCATGAGCTGAGATGCCACAGGGCTCTTCTGAACACTGCTGGTCACATGGCAGCCTCTCAGCTCAACTGCAGAGCCCCTGCATACCTTATACCAAGCCCTGCACTGCTTAGTTTTCCTAACAAATGTGGTAATGCCTCCTTCCCACAGAGATCCTGCTACACAACCTTCATCTCTGATTCAGACACAGAGGTTTCATACAGACCAATGAGCAACTTTCAGCGACCCCACCCCAACCTATGAGCAGTGGGGATCAGAAATCAGGCTCTGAACATGCAGGCACCCTCTGCCAGCTCCTGGGCAGCCTAGCTCGGGGACACATCTGACTGGTGCTCAAACTGAGCCCCACTTGCAAGGCCTTTTATCATCTTGGCATGGCCTTTGCTGGAGATGAGCAGAGGGCTGGACCCGCTGTGCACGCAGCTCAACCCCTGCTAATTGCAAGGCTGGAGCCCTACTGTGTGCTCAGCCCAACCCCTGCTCATTGGAGGGCTGGAGCCTCACTGTGGCTCAGCTCAACCCTTGCTCACTGGAAAGCTGTAGCTCCATTGTGTGCCCAGCTCAACCCTTGCTCAATGGAGGGCTGGACCCACTGTGTGCCCATCTCAATTCCTGATCATTGCAGAGCTGGAGCCCCACTGTGTGCTCAGCTCAACCCTTGCTCATTGGAGGGCTGGGAAAGACATGCGATGGGTGAGCTGCACTAGGACTTCAGCTGCTCCAGAACAAGCAGATCAAATGCTTTGCGGGCAGGAGTCCCCAGATGCTTTCTTGGGCTGGGGCAGGCTCTAGCCACTCAGGGGCAAGACTTGTGATCATGGAGACCACTCTGCAGCATTCCCAGACACTTCCTCTCCTGGAACTGCTCTCAGCACCAATTTATAAGCCAACAAAGAAAAACACCAGAATGCCTTTGGTTGACCCCAAGCAACACTGCATTTACCAACTTAATTTCTAAAAATCAGATCCCAAGTCTAATCATGAACCTTCAACACCACCGAAGACCCCTGGAAGAGTGTACATGACAGAATCAGTTGCTGGCCAACTGGACACAGAGAGACTGGGTCCACATACGCTGCTGGCAGGACATGAAACGGGCAGTCACTTTGGGAAAGTGTGCCACTTTTACAAAACTACACACACACTGATGGCATGACCACACTGGACATATGTGCACTCTGGTGCATTTATGCTCATGCAAAAACCCGTAAGTTCATGCTCACCACAGCTTGGTTCATGAGACTCAAATACCAGGGAAAGCCCAGATGTCCTTCGACAGGTGAAGGGTTAAGCAAACAGTGTTTCAGCCACGTTGTGGAACACTCCTCGGCCACAGACAAAACGCTGTTGGCTGATAATGCGGCAACTTGAGAATTAAGACAAGGCAACCATCAGAGACTTGGCTAAGGGAAAAGACTCAGTGGCAAAGGTTGCTTGGTATATATAACATTTACGTAACATTCTTGAAATGGCAAAATTACCCAGACAGAGCACAGATTAGTGCTTGTCGGCAGCTAAGGTGGCCAGGGACGCACCCATGGCTACAAGAAGGAAGCAGACAGGATCCATGTGCATCCCAACCATCATGGCAGCTCCATGAACCTTATGTGGTAAACTGGCACAGAAGTAAATGTTCACACACAGGTGCACATAAACCTGATGAATTCCGCACTCCATCAGTGGTCTGCACCAGGGCCAGCTCCCTGGCTGCAGTGCTGCCCTGTGGTATGCTATGGTCTCTCTGTGTAATGTCTACAAATGCATGGGAATCAAAGCAAAATGCTCCAAAAGAAAGGAAAAGGGAAAAGGTGCAATAATGTACAACAAGAACAAATCAGGAATACTTTGAACAATGGAGACAAACTCAAACAGCAGCTTTCCAAGGTGATGCAGGAGGGCAGCTGGATGTGTGTGTGTGTGAGTACCCACAAGCTCCCCTTGCGAGCCTCCGTGTACATAGGCTGAGATCTGGCGTGTCAGTCTCATGGGCACATCCCCGCCGTGTGCAGTGGCCTGCCTTCCTGCACAGTATGTGCAGTAGAGGAGCTGCACAGGTGGAAGCTGCGGAAGAGGACTGGTGGCTCCTCATTCCCAGCAGGGCCACAGTCCCTTCTCTGGGCTCACCCGTCTGAGTATACCTGAGTACACCAGTCCGTATACCTGCACATGCATGTGTGTACATCCACCAGCTGAGTGGCACACATGTGAACACACATGCATGCACACACACATCCCACATACCCGGGGTGTCCATGTGTGTGCACATGAACACACATGTACATGTGCCAGCACGTGTCCACCCATGTATACCTGAACACATGCATGCACACACATGAATGCTGGCTTTCCAGGGAACACAGTCATTGTCTGTGATGTGCCATGTGGCCAGCGCTGAGACTACAGCACTCAGTCCAGTGACGGTGTTGAGCCGATTGCTTTGGGGATTCTGGGACTCTTTGTCAGCCACCCCTCACTCTGCAAGACTGAGAATGGCTTCACTACTGGCCGCACCTCTGTGAGAAGACACAACCATTGACCTGGAAGCGGCACAGCACTGACAAGGGCAAATCCACCTCAAAGGGACACAGAAGATCAAAGCCTGCTCTCCCCACACCTGTCACAGACCAGCGTCAGTCCCAAAGGCCACCTCGTAAGTGCATCCTTCAGGTAAGTCATTCCCTGCATCCTTGGGGGCCACAGCACAGGGTCTCAGTGGTCCCGTGTACCCACACCTGTCCTGCTCATTAGCTGTTTACACTCGGGGCTCCCCAGGAGATCTGAACACCCTGAGGCCAGGTGTCCCTGACCTGGTAGGGTGCATGCAGCAGGTGCTTAATAAGAATTTGTTGCATTAAACTGATTTAATTGGGAGGGCTGACTACCACAGAACTGAAAGAAAGAACCAACTGTACAGCATATCTGAGTCTTCCTCGAGGCCACACGCACGGGAGGCAGAGTTCTATTGAGTAACAGCGATCATCACAATTGTGGCGAAGGCCTGTCATGGCATGCCCTGCAGTCCCGACAAGAAACCAAGCTTCCCAATCTCACTGAGGCATCAGCAACGCCACAGGATAGTCACGACCTTCCTGGAAGGCCTTCGGAGCTGGCCGAGTAGGTGGACACAGCAAACTCCCACCCACACGGGCAGTGATTGGCCAGGGAAGCCCCAGGACTGAGGGGGCAAAAATGCGGACAAAGGCATGCAGGGCTTGGGGACAGTAGCCACACACATCAGGCTTGCACAGGGGCCTATAGGAAGGGGGACAGGGCATTCAACCAAGAGTCACAGATGTTGTAAGCTCATGTGCAGTGAGTGCCCACTGTGTTGTCGCACTCCAGGACACTGGGCAGAAGGCAGGCCAGGCCCCGTTCCTGCACTGTGGCAGGGTCTGTCACGGCCACCAGTCTAGAGAACACCCAACATGCAGTGCAGCCTGTGTGCACGGGAATGTTTCGGAAGCCCGCAGGCCTGCTCCGTGAGTCCTACCAGGCCACGTTGCCATGGGCCGCGTCGTCCAGGTGACACAGCAGCTCCAGTGTCTGTGCGGGGCTTGCAGAGTCGTCTGGGGACTCGTGGCCGCCTGATTCCAGTTCCTTTGGCATCCTCCACACAGCTGCACATGTCTGGACTTTGCTGTCGGAAGCTGAGCACAGAGGAGACCGTCAGCAGAGCCCGCTCCTGGACGATGCTCCAACATCACATGACCTGCGCCTGCCCTTTCCAACACTGAAAATCACAGGCAGCAGAGAGGCAGAGAGCAGAGACTGCAGGCAGCAGGCAGCATGAGGTGTACTGTAATTAGCACCACGTTAACCCGCTTTATCCTTGTTTTAAAACCACCATTCTGTTCCAGAAGAAAATTAAATTTCCTCAAAATTGATTTCCATCCCTCACTGATTTTCTTCAATGGTTTTCAAAAAAGGAGGCAAAGTGGGGTACTACAGATCTGATCCCCATGCACGCAACTGAGACTGGCGTTAGGTGGGTTTTTCCCATCACGGCTTCATGGGGCTGTCAGTAAGCACAAAGCACTCCACTCAGAAGCACTGCCACCAGAGTCACTCCAGCTCAGTTTACCCACAGAGGTGGGACTGTGGGGTGGGAGTCCAGCCCAGCTAAGGCGGCACCTGACATCAGAGCGCCTGCAGGTGACTCCCAGCTCCGGCTCTGACCCCACTGTCGATGATGCAGACCCTGAGAGGCAGCAAGTCAGCTGGTTGCTGCCATAATCAGTTCCTGCATTGAGCTGTTGGCTCTCAGTTTTGGCCTGGCCCAGCACTGCCTGTTGCAGGCATTTGAGGAGGAAAGCCTTTCTCTCTCTCTCTCTCTCTCTCTCTCTCCCCCTCACCCTCTCCCCCACCCCTTCTCAAAGAAGTAAATAAGTAAATAAAAAATTTTAAAAGGTGGTCTTAAATAAATGATGATAAAACAACGAACAGGTTTCAATAGGAAATCATTAATTTATAACATGGAGAATGTAACAGTATTATATGAGGGTACTTCAAAAGTTTTCAGAAATAAAATTAAAAGACAATTTTATTTTGGGCAAAAAGGATTTGAAATCTACTATTAAGAAAAACACATAACAGGGAGTCTTCAAAAACTTCATGAAAAATGAATCATGAAAAAATTAAGGTAGATTTCAAGCCTACTGGCACCAAACAGAGCTTATCTTTTAATCTCATTTCCCACCAAAAATTTTAAGTACCCTTATATACAATGTTAGAACATGGAAACTTGCTCCATGAGTGACATTTCCTACAGATGAACTAAGAAAAAACAACAGATACAGCATTGTAACAACAGGACCTTATATCACACTAAAAGCAGGGATACTTCTTACCAGCTATCATGGTCCTTCAATCTAAATATCAGCTGATGAACCAAGAAATACAACAGTGAACACAACACAGTAACAAGACATCGAGCTTCATGGGTATTTTTATTATTAGCGCTATCACCCATGATCAGGTAACAATATGCAAAAAGGACCAGGAACTCAACCAAGAGTTCCTGTTGGCAAATTCAGTGCCTGTTTCACACTTTGTTGGGCCTACAGGAATATGGAATTGTGGCTGAAAGAAACATTTATACCTTTAATAATGAAAACACAGTATACAATGGTTTATACCCTACTTGAGAAATAATTTTTTGCTGAAGTTTTCAGTCACAAAGTCCTCTTGTAGAGCCCCTGAGACTGGCAGACTCTCCTGGAAATATGAGAGTAACTGAAGGAAGAGTTGGCAACATGGAGTTGGAGAGGAGAGATGAAGGCCGGCAATGCTAACCCAACAGAGGCACAGATTGTACTAACCTGTCTAAATGTCCGAAAAAGAAATGTCCATTCTGAGAAGTGATGGAACCAAACTGTGGCTATGTTGCAAAACAAATCAAGTGCACAAAACGATTAAGGTCGAGAACAGTAAAATCGCTGTTTTGTAGGAGAGGTGAGCAGTGGCAGATCCCCCACTAACAAATCCCTTCTCTGGAGAATTCTGTGTAGGACTGCTTTCCTGTGACAGTGCTCACCTAATTCCTGGTTAAGACGACTTCCATGGTACCCTTAGGACGGCCACAATGGCTCTTAGGAAATTGTATTTTTACCCTCAGGTAAGCTGTTTCCCTTCAAAGCCTACACCAGATGTGGAGCTCCAATGAGAAGGCTGGGTGTCCGCTTTCTCACACACTGTTCTGGCATTCCAGGGTCCATCAACCAGATACAGCAGAGAAACCAAGGGAGGAACTTCCAGGAAAACACAGCTGACAGAATGAACCCTTGCTTCTACTTCCATTCCATCCCCTTACCCTCCTGAGGTTATAATAAGGAGGGGTTTTTGGATTCTGTTTTCTTTTCAAGACATAAACCCACAAGGAGGAGAAGAGCAATGGGATTTTGACAGTTGGAAAGCCACTGGCTGAGAGAGAAATAATAGAGCATGCCCAAGACAGCCGTGGAGAGAGCTCAGAAGCAACCTTGTCCATGTGCAGGCCCGGGGTCAGGTGGCACCAGGCCATCCCCTGGAAAGGTCCCACGTGGGACCTGGACTGAGTATGGCTGCAGCCCAGTCCTGACTGTGGCAGGCACTTAGGAAGTCAACCAGTGAAAGGGAGCGCTCGCTCGCGTGCGCTCTCTCTCTGTCCTTCTGCCTCTCAAATCTATTATTTTTTTAGATCTTAAAATCCAAACACAATTGTATATTTCTAGAAAAACTGAAACTTAACAGAACTGACACTAGAAGAAATAAAAACTCTGAAGAGATCAGTATCTCTTTAACAAACTGATTCTAATATGAAATTTCCTACAGAGAAACCATGAGGATCAGGACCCCTATGATGACTTCCAAGCATTTAAAGTAAAAACAAACAAACCAAAATACACAGCAATACAAGAAGAAGAACACGGGGAACATTCCCTGACAACAATATATCAAGATTTTTAAACAAAGGAAAATTACAGGCTGTTAATTCTCTTGAGAAGATGTAAGATTCTTCAACAAAATATTAGTAAATCAAATTCAGTATCATATAAAGAGCACTAATTTCACATACAAATGAGGTTTATTCAAAGAATATGTTATTTATGATTTGAAAAGCAGGCAATATAACTCATCACATTAGCAAACTAAAAAAAAAAAAAAATGACCACCACAGAAGATATCTAACTTTGATATAGCTCAATGCCTATTTCTGATAATATTCTTAATAAAAGGAGAAAGAGGAGAAAAAGAGGAATATTTACTGCCATAAGAAATCTACACCCACCAAGTCTCACTGTAAACAAAGTGGCTGTGAGTGAAATAGTACAAGCTCTCCCTTAAGAACGGGAAAAAGACAAGCACGTCCTGTGCTACTCTCCTAGTTAACACTATCAGCAACATGGCTGAACAAAAGGACAATGCAAAGAAATCATCTGGAATTCTATAGATTAGCAACCAAAACTTAGAAAATGAAATTTGAAAGGAAAATGATATTAATGATATAGCTAAAAATCAAATACCCAATAGTATCTCAAATTAAGATGTGCATGAATCTGTACACAGTAAAACAAAGTAAACTGCTGAGAGAAAATAAAGACCTAAGTAAATGGAGGACATACCATGTTCATGGATTGGAAGTGTCACTACTGTAAACAGCTGTGAGTCTCAAAATTCCTTAAGTCTTACTTTAGAATTCAACAACCAACTTCTTAACTCTTAAAATGTGTATGAAAATGTGAATGACCCAGAAAGCCCAGATAATCATGAGAACAACAAAATTGAATGATTTGCAAAGCAGGTATCAGTTTACTATTAGGATAACAATAGGTTAACAGTACAGAGGAAAAGAATGGAGTCTAGGAGTGGAACAGCTTACTTACACCAGAAACATCATCACATTGGGATGGACAGAGGAAGATATTAATAAATGATGTCTGATCAACTATGTACATGAAAAAAAAGTAACTTAAATCCTATCTTACAACATATTGAAAAACCGATTCCAGATAAACTTAACATAAAATGTAAAAGAAAAATAATGCAAGTATTTTCTAGAATGCACAGTGGAATATTCTCACAATCTTGGGACATGCAAAAATTTCTTAAATGGCAGGAAAAAAATGCTGATCATTAAAGAATAACAACATAGTCGTAAAATGAAGAACATCAATTCACCGAAAGACAGTATATGAATTCTTCAAAATTAGAAAGTTCTGCTCTTGGAAAGACACTGCTGAAAAAATAAAGCAAAACTGAGAGGAAATGTTCATAATACTTGTACTGAAAATCTGCTTACATCTGAAATATACAAAGAACTCTTACAACTGAATAATAAACAATCCTGTCGCTCCCTGTCTTCGTGGAGGAACGACACAGGACCCTGCGCTGTTCTTTTGTCTGCTCGGCCCTCCCCGGGTTTGCTGCTGGTTCTTCCCGGGTTGGCTACCGTCCCTTCCACCTCCGTGGAAGGGCGGTTCCCCCTAGCCACTTTCCCCACTTCTGCAGGGGAGCGGCACACCGCCGGCCGGCTCTCTCGGGGGCTGCACAGGTGTTCCTTCAGATAGATGTTCCCTTTAGATGTTCCTGGTGCATGTTGTCTCTCTCCTCCTTTATAGTCCTCTTCCACCAATCCCAACTCTGCTACCCACACGCCGAGTACGCTGCTCTCCTCCAATCAGGAGCAGGATCAGCTCCTACAGGCTGGAGGCAGCTGTGTAAAAGTTGTTTACTCCTCTCCCAGCGCCATATTGTGGGAGAGCAGATGCATAGAATAAGTCTTAATTCCAGTAACTTAGTCTAGTCCGAGTTGCTCCCCACAAATCCGATTTTCAAAAATGACCTCAGGGGCCGGCATTGTGGAGTAGCAGGTAAAGCTGATAGAGCCGCCACCTGGGATGCCAGCATCCCATATAGGCACCAGTTCAAATCCTGGCTGCTCCACTTCTAATCCACCTCCCTGCTAATGGCCTGGGAAAGCAGTGGAAGATGGCCCAAGTGCTTGGGCCCCTGTCACCCATGTGGGAGAACTAGAAGAAGCTCCTGGCCATTGCAGCCATGAGGAGTGAACCAGCAGATGAAAGATCTGTCTTCTTCCTTTCTCTCTGTAATTCTTTAAGATAGATAGATAGGTAGATAGATAGATATTTTTTAAAAAAGAAAAC